GAGGGTGCCTTCAGTTTCTATTTCATAACTTTTCAATGGTAAGTTAGAATGAGCTGAAATTTTAGGTTTGTAGGTTTCTCACTTTGCTCTTTCATTTCCGATCATAAAAAATAGAGGTCAACATTTTTGAGAGTATGACGATGTTCGATGGAGCTGTGGACCCTCTCTTAAAAGCTTCTAACATTGTCTACAGTCAATGAAAATCGTTGGAGTACCTTGAAATGATGTGAATATGGGCGTAGGTGTAAGTCTATAGTTCCTCTATGTAGACAATTCCAATTGATTGAAATTATTTAAATTCATCTAGAGTCGCGTGGAGTCAGATAGAGTCACTTGGAGTCATCTGGAGTCAATAGAGTCATGGAGTTATGGAGTCAGCCGTTTCCCCCTTGGAAGTTCTTTATTATTTAAGTAATTTTCTTGTTTGATTTTATAAAAAAAAAAAAAGAATAATTTACTTTTTTAAATTTAAATTTTAATAATAAAATGAACAATATTATTTTAAATAATATCTCGAACTTATTTTTAATTTCAACATCAATTTTAGAAAAAAAAAAATAAGAAAATTTTGATATGTATATTCAGGTATATGTATAGGTAACAATATAATAATCTAGTATAAATTCTATATCTTTATAATATCTATCTAATTGGATAAGATAAACATTTGGTAAAACTAAATAAAAATAATTGAAAAATATGCGAAGAACATAAAATAATGTGTAGAATAAATAATAAAAGATGATAAATTGTCTAACGTTATATATTAATATAAATGAATTGATTAGTTAAGTAACAATTAAATTTCTATATAATCAATTGATTATGATCACTATTTAAAGAATATAATTAAAGTTGATTTACTTTCGTTGACTAATATTTTTATTAATTTAATAAAAATGATTTAAATTTTAATATTTTTTTCTTCTCTTATATTATAGTAATATATGTTTAAAAATATGATATGATTTCTAAAGATTTAGAATATATATATATCTAATTCTGAACAACGATTTATTTAAAAATAAAAATTTTGAAATTTTATCTTCAAAAATAGATTTAATAATGTTCAAAGAAAATAATTTTTGTCTAATTTCGAAAATTTTGATTATATAAATTGTTTTATAAATAACTAAAATTTATTTCGATTTAATAAATTTCAAAGCATAATAATGATATTTATAAATAAGAAAAGTAAAAGTAATAAAAAAAAAGAGAATAGAAATAAATAATATAGGATTTTCATCAATTTTATTGAAAATATATCCATCAAATGAATGCCATGATCTTCCTTTATGATGAATAACATATTTAGTTATTTCATTTTCAGATAAACTCCATTAAAAATTAGAATTTTTATTCTCTGTAAACACTTTATACTGTTTACAATATTTTAACATAGCAATAGTGTTGGGATGGTTTTCCCCAAATTCCTTCATCTGCTGATAACGAAAGGAGGTATAATTATATATATTCTTTAACTTACAAGCGGCTTTAGCTCCTTGTAAGTATAGATAGCTAACCTGCGCTACATTTTTCAAGTTTTCCCTATACAAGTAGGAATATATGATATTAGCTTTTTTATAAGAGTCTATTGCAGCTTTAAGGTTATTCTTAGCAAAGAACACGTCCCCTTGTACTACATAACTAGCAGCTAAATCTGGGTCTTGTGAGTAAGCGACATTTTTTGGATTCCGCCGTTCATCCGCTAATAATATGTCGATAGCTTTATTAATATATCCCAGAGATCCAGTGAACTTCCCTTGTCCTAATTCACTTCTAGCCCACTGAGTATAAATCCGAGAAAGTATTGGAGAATTTTCTTTTTTTAAAGTATTATATATCTTATATGCTTGCTCAACTTGTTCATAAGCTTCTCTATATCTACCAATTGAATTTAATATTGTTGCTTTAAATAAATAACGAATAGATAGTACTGTATCATTGCTATCAATACCCATATCAAACAGCATTTTGATAGTTTGATTAAGCTGTTCTAATGCCTCAATATATTTCCCTTGGGTGTATAATAAGCATGCCTTAACAGTATAGAGAGTTATTACCTCTCCTCCATATACCAACCCACTATTAAACATATTTTCTATTATTTGAATATTCTTTTCTGCTTGTGGTAAATCTCCTAAGCGAACGTTAATATCAGCAAGAAGGTGAAATATATCATACTTAAAGGCTTCGTAACCTTTAATAATACTAAGTATTCCTCTTGCTTCAGTATAATATTCAAGCGCCTTATTCCATTGGCATATATATCTGTAATACATCCCTATAAGTTCTAAATAAGAGGCGTATGAAGCTTTTTCATAATTACTCATTACCCATAGTTTAAATTTTCCTTCCTGTTTATTTATATTAAACCAATTTACTAATTTTTCTGCATTATAATTGTCGAAAGAATCAATATATTGTGTCATTAAATTTTCATTCAGTAGCAATAATTTATATATATTAATATTATATTTTTGGGCATTCTTTAAAATTATTTCAAAACTATCATGGATAGTTTTAGAATTCCTAAAGTGATAAGCTTTAATAATATCGTTAGGAATGAAGTTAACCAACTTAATTATTATATCCTCTAAATAATTCTTATTATTTTTATTACCATTTATTGCTCGTATTTTATCAGCAATTATATCATGCATTTCGAAAGCAGGATTCTCTTCATCTATATCAATTTGACTAATTAACAAAAATTTAGACAGTTTAGCAATATCATCATCAAGCGTATTCTGATTATCTGTAATGCAATTCAGTAGTTGTTTAGAAAAACTCTGATTATTTACTAAGGCGATCTTATTAAGTAAACTAACTGCACTAGGCTTTAATTCCTTAATAGCCCTATTGATATTTACTTCTATTTTATCTGCTGATTGATAAATCTTTTTTTTATATTCCTTTCTATTTAAACCTTTAATTTTGTTGAGTAGCTGCGCTCCTTGTACTAGTAATATTGGGTATCCACTAAAGGCGTGTATTAAAAATTCAATATCTTTTTCATGTTTAGCATCTAACAAGTTTTTGGTTAACTTAATAGCATCTTCTTTATCCAATAAATTCATTTGCAAAACATTCGGCAGGCCTTCACTATCTTGTGAACAAAAGATAATATCCCCTTTATGTTCCCAATCCATTATCTCTGCTATTTTCTTATTTTCTCCAATTCCTAGATTATCAAACACTAATAACCATTTTTTTCGATAAAGCAGGTAATTGATTACTGCTTTTTGGACTGTATTACTTTCTTCAGAGATATTAGCTTTTAAAAATTGGTTAAGGTGTTTCGCTAACTTTACAAATTCTTCTTTTAAATTTAAGTTGCAATCGAAAAACCAAATAATATTATACAAATCTTTATTTTTCTTTGCATATATTCTAGCAAGTTGCGTTTTTCCTATACCGCTAGTACCTATAATACTTACTTTCCCATCTTTGCTTAAATATTCTTTAATTTTTTTAAGCTGCTTTTCATGGTTGACAAAATAACTAATAGGTATAATCAGATTAGTAACGTGCTGCCCTGCCCAAGCCTCATGGGTATTTATGCATAGCCACATTATTATTAGGTATTGTAGGGTCGCCTTGAATAGGGTTAGTTTTTTCATCATCTTCGTTCTTAAATAATTAAATACCTATAAATCTATTTAATTTAAATAACGCCTTACTTCAGATGATTATACTGCTCATACTCTAAGAACCCTAATTTTATTTGGCAGTGGTGAGCGCTCGAAGCGTACATGTAAGTACGTAAGCCCGTGAGTTCACGATAAAATAAAAAAACAATTCAGCAAAGTGAGTAGTATACATATAGCCAAAGTGATTTAGAGGATGATAATTGAACTTCAATCAGAGATTGCGTGACCGTATAGTAAAATACGTAAGTACAACCGAATCCTGCAAAATTATGTATCCCTAGCTAAATACCCTAAGCTGCACGTTAGATCGAGGTTATTAAATACTTAATACAAAATTTTTACTGCAATATGGACACCTAATGGATCCAATATTTGGATCAATTGCTAAATAAATTGTTGGGTGATCAAAGGGAGGCTCTTTACCCAAGCACAACACAGAAGCAGAACTTGTCTTAATAATTTCTATATTTTGCATAAATTTAAAGCTACATACAACATTTTTTAGTATACTCCTTTAATATCAAGGATTTTGGATTATATTGTGAGCAGTAGGTACGCATAAGTAATATACTAATACATATGAAGATGCGAATCCCTGATAAAATAAAAAAACAATTCTTGAAAGAAACCAGTATATTATCCCATTATAAACATAACTTAAATTTATTCAAAATAAAAATTAGGATAGAATAATGATAGATAAAGTAGTAGCTGTAACTGGCTCAACAAGTGGCATCGGGCTAGAAATTGCCAAGCACTTTGCGATATTAAAGGAAAAAATTATTATCCATGGACTAGAAAGGAAAGAGATAGTGGATAAAATATCGGAGGAATTAATAAAGCTTGGAGCTACCGATATTTTATACCATGCTGCTAATTTAGCTCAACCAATTGAAATATCTAGAATGTTTGAAGCCATACTCAATAAATTCGGTAAATTAGATATTTTAGTGAATAATGCTGGTATTCAATTTGTCTCTTTAATTGAAGATTTTCCTGAAGAAAAATGGGAAGAAATTATAAGAGTTAACATGATATCTTCCTTTTATACTATAAAATATGCCATACCAATTATGAAACAAAATGGTTGGGGACGAATTATTAATATCGCTTCGGCACATGCCCTTGTAGCTTCTCCTTTCAAGTCAGCTTACGTGACCGCAAAACACGGCTTGCTAGGGTTAACCAAAACTGTAGCACTAGAAGTAGCAGAGCACAACATAACGGTTAATGCTATTTGTCCTGGCTATGTTAAAACTCCTTTAGTTATGAATCAAATAGCCGATACTGCCAAGCTTAAGAACATAAGTGAAGAAGCAGTATTGCGAGAAGTTATACTTAAATCACAAGCAACAAAAAAATTTGTAGAGATAGATGAAATAGCTAAGATGGTGATTTTCCTCTGCGATGAAAAAGCCAGCTCTATAACCGGGACTCCATTATTGATAGATGGAGGCTGGACCGCTCAATAAAAAGTAACTCAACTAGATTGAGTTGACAAAATTTTTATAATAATATGCCCAATCCATTTTATTAAATTATTAGAAAAAATTCTAAATATTGTTTTGCTAATTATTATAATGAATATAGTGATAATATAACTATAAATAATATCTGCTGGGTAGTGCATAGCTAAGGTAATACGTGAGAGAGCAGCTAACAGCACGATCAGGACAGTAACAATTTTTTGAATAGTGGTTATATTTGACCAAATGCTATATGCCACCACTAATGCAAGACCTGCATGACTACTGGGAAAGCTTGACAAACATCTCTCTAAGCCCAAATCAATAATAGTGGTAAAACTATGAACTGGCAGAGAACAAAATGGCCTAGGGAGATTAACTGAAAATTTTAATATAGTATAAGTTAAACAAAATAAGGTATAAGTTATTCCTAGAAGAAATAACTTATTATACATAGGCCAGAATTTTATATAGAATTGGTCAAAATTTTGAATCTTTTTTAAGCTAATATAAAAGTAGATGCAATATATCAAATAAGCCGCAGCAAAATTACTAATATTAAAACAAAAAGAGATGATTTGGAGAATACAGGCTATTATGCTAGAATGATTTGTTATTTTGTTAAGATATAAAAATATTTCTTGATTAAGCCCTAGGAAATTATATAAAAAATCAAACATTTTTAATTTTGTTTAAGTAAATAAATATTATGCTCAGAGTCACAGTTCTAGGTTGTGGCGCGTCACTTGGCGTTCCTGTCATTGGTTGTAAGTGCAATATTTGTACTTCTCAATCGAACTATAATAAAAGAACTAGATCATCAATATATATTGATGATGATAATAGTCAAATTCTTATTGATTTTGGTTTTGATATTAAAGACCAGTTAATAAGAGAGAATATTCAAAAGGTAGATGCTGCTATATTAACCCATGATCATGCTGATCATGTTAGCGGAATCGATAATTTACGTGTATTTCCTTTTCTTCAAAATAAACCATTAGCAATATTCTCGGATCATGACACAATAAGCAGGACAGTAGCACGTAACCAATATTTATTTACTCCTGAAAAACTAATAGCAAAATCTATAGATTTCTTTACAAAATGTACTATTAACACTATAGAAGTACAATTCTTTAGACAAAACCATGGCTCTATAGATAGCCTCGGAATAAGAATAGGGGATTTTGTATATTCTAGCGATGTAGCAGCTTTTCCAGAAGAATCTAAGAATTTTTTTACAAGGTATTAAAGTTTGGATCTTAGATTGTATCGCTTATAAGTCTAATGATCATCATGCAGGTTTAGATAAAATTTTACAATGGAATAAGGAATTTAATCCTCATCAAATATTATTAACTAATATGAATCATTTCATTGATTATCATGAAATACTCAAAATATTACCTTCTAATATTAAGCCATTATACGATGGTTATAAATTAGTAGTTTAATATGATAAAAATTAATCAAGTTTCTAAGTGTTATCATAAAACTTATGCGCTTAAAGGGATAAGCCTAGAATTCAATAAAAAAGAAACTATAGCAATTCTAGGTTCTTCTGGCAGCGGAAAATCAACTTTATTACGTATTATTAATGGTTTGGAATCCCCAACTACTGGAGAGGTTTTTATTAATGATAAAAAGTTGAATCAAAAAAATAAAAGGAAACTTTGCCTTAAAACCGGGATGGTGTTTCAAGCCTTTAATCTTTTTCCGCATTTTAATGTCCAAGATAATTTGATATATGCTCCGGTCAACGTTTTAAGGGTAGAACAAAAGGTGGCAATAGTAAAGGCAGAAAAATTACTTGATCAATTTAATTTACAACAAAAAATTACCTCCTTTCCTGTTAACCTGTCCGGAGGCGAAAAACAAAGAGTAGCAATTTGTCGAGCCTTAATGATGGATCCAGAAGTAATGCTATTTGATGAGCCAACTTCAGCGTTAGATCCTGAAAATATTAAAGATATTATTGCAAGCATTAACTTACTAAAACTCCAAGTAACCATGATTATAGTGACTCATCATATTAAATTTGCTCAAATAATAGCCGATAGGATAATTTTTATGGATCAGGGGCAAGTATTAGCAGATCAGTCTAGTGACAAATTTTTTGCTCAACCTGAATCTCATAGAGCTAGATTATTCTTGGAAAATATAGGAGAATTAATGTGAATAATGAAAATATAATAAAATTAATAATGGTCCTTTCTGTTAGTACTATTGTTACTTTCGTTATATATCAAATGGTAGGAAATAAATTACCAGATTTTTCTTGGGGCGATATAAAGATTGTATCACTTTTTATAGGAATCCTGATTATTGTTAATATTCTTTATAATGCGTTCCTACAAAAAAATATTATTTCATTTTCGATTCAACTACTAATTTGGATAGGAATATTTTTTGTTATAGTTATTGGTTATGCTTTTAGATTTGAGTTAAATTATGTTTCCCAAAGAGTAATAGCAGTATTAGTGCCCTCATATAGCTGGATTAATACGCACGGGGAAATAGTAATTAATCGTAATGGTGATGGACATTTTTATATTGACGCTTTGGTTAATGGAGTAAAAATTAGGTTTATGATTGATACCGGAGCCAGCGATATAGCGTTGACAATAAAGGATGCAAAAAAACTAAATTTTGACTTATCAGCCCTGAAGTTTACCAAAACTTATTCTACCGCTAATGGTTTAAGTAAGGCTGCTTATATCGAATTAGATAATATCAAGTTAGGCGATAGTTACTTTAGGCAAATAGGAGCGCATGTTGGCATGGGAGAACTTGATATATCGTTATTAGGTATGTCCGTATTAGAGCGCTTTAAAAGTTTTAGGATAGAGAGAGATACGCTAATTTTAAGTTACTGATAGCAACTTGATATACTTGGATCTTAAGAATTAGATTTTATTTTGAATGAAGAGTGCGTGCAGCGTACATACGTAAGTGAGTATGCGAATCCTTGATAAACTCAAAAAATAATTCGGCAAAGTGGGTAGTATACGTAACTACAAGCGGAAAATTTTATATCAACCATCTGATTATTTATAGTGATAATTTATGTTAAAAAATAGTGATAAAGTTTTTGCTAATCTTAGTGGCCAAGAAAAATGTGATATAGTTAGTAGTAAGCAGCGGGGAGATTGGGATAATACTAAGGATCTTATTAATAAAGGCAGAGAATGGATTATTGAAGAAATAAAAAAATCTGGGCTTAGAGGGCGAGGGGGAGCTGGCTTTCCTACTGGCACTAAATGGTCCTTTATGCCTAAAGAGCACCCTAAACCTAGTTATTTAGTAGTGAATGCCGATGAGTCAGAGCCTGGCACCTGTAAAGACCGAGATATTTTAAGATACGAACCACATAAACTAGTAGAAGGATGCGTGCTTGCTAGCTTTGCTATTAATGCCCATACTTGCTATATATATATTCGTGGTGAATTTTATAATGAGGCGTCAAATATCCAAAGGGCAATAGATGAAGCTTATGCCGCTGGTTTTATTGGCCCTAATGTCTGTGGTACCGAATATAGGCTCGATATTTATTTGCACCGCGGTGCTGGTGCCTATATTTGTGGCGAGGAAACAGCTTTACTTGAAAGTTTAGAAGGGAATAAAGGATTTCCAAGGCTAAAGCCGCCCTTCCCTGCCAGTTTTGGTTTATATGGTTGTCCTACTACGATTAATAACGTTGAATCGATTGCAGTTGTCCCTACTATACTTCGGCGTGGTGGAGAATGGTTTGCTTCCCTTGGTAAGCCCAATAATACTGGGACTAAGGTTTTCTGTATCTCAGGCCACGTAAATAAACCATGTAATGTTGAAGAAGCCTTAGGAATTCCTTTGCGAGAATTGATCGATCACTATGCTGGTGGCGTACGGGGAGGCTGGGATAATCTTAAAGCTATTATTCCAGGTGGCTCCTCCGTACCGTTACTTCCAAAATTATTATGCGAAGAAGCTAACATGGATTTTGATAGCTTGAAAGCTCTAGGTTCAGCCTTAGGAACTGGCGGAATAATTGTTATGGATAATTCTACTGATATAATTTATGCGATCGCGCGACTTAGTAAATTCTATATGCATGAATCTTGTGGACAATGTACTCCTTGTAGAGAAGGAACAGGCTGGATGTGGCGTATTATGATGAAACTAGTAAGAGGTCAGGCTCAAATAGAAGAAATAGATCAACTATTAGATACTACAAAAATGATAGAAGGCCGTACGATTTGCGCCCTAGGAGATGCAGCAGCTTGGCCTATCCAAGGGCTGATTCGCCATTTCCGTCATGAAATTGAAGACAGGATTAAAAACTACAGTCAATTCATGTGATCTTGAACTTAAGCTTCATTAAGTAATAACTAGTGGTTACGTTACTATAAGGTCTATTTTCAAATCCAATTCTTTAAATCATTTGAGTATATTTTCGAACGCGCTTTATCTCCGCACCACAATTTATTAATTTTTGTTCTAAGGCTTGATATCCGCGATCTAAGTGGTATATTCTATGGATTATAGTTTGATCTTGCGCTGTAAGCCCAGCTAAAACTAGCGATACGGAGGCTCTAAGATCGCTTGCCATCACTTCTGCTCCTACTAAAGATTTCACTCCCGATATTCGTGCCCTGTTCCCTTTAATCGTAATACGAGCGCCCATTCGGCATAATTCTGGAACATGCATAAAGCGATTTTCAAAAATATTCTCTGTAATTGTAGCGCAACCATTACACAGTGCCATTAAGCTCATAAATTGGGCTTGTAAATCAGTGGCAAAACCCGGATAAGGGTTAGTTTGAATATTAACAGGGTTTATTTCACCTACATAAGTGATTTTGAGACCATGCTCAATAGGTAAAACTTGAATCCCTGCTTTAAGTAGTTTTACCACGAGATTTTTAACTATTTTATATTCGATACCATAAATATTTAAATCACCTTTAGTAATTGCCGCTGCTATCATATAAGTACCGGCTTCAATACGATCTGACATAATTGAGTAAGTAGCATTGTTTAAATGACTTTTACCAATAATTTTAATTTTACTGCTACCTATCCCATAAATCTCAGAACCCATCTTTTTTAAGCACTGGCATAAATCAACTATTTCTGGCTCCATAGCACAATTAAATAAAGTTGTTTCGCCTTTAGCTAAAGCAGCAGCCATTATAGCATTAATAGTTGCACCAACTGATATTTTATTAAAGGTGAAATTTATACCGTTCAATCTACCTTTAACTTTAGCGTTAATATAACCATGATCAACTTTGATCTCTGCTCCCATAGCTTGCAGTACCTCTATATGTAGATCAACTTGCCTAGCTCCTATAGCGCATCCTCCCGGTAGAGACACTTTTGCTTCAGAAAACCTTGCCAGCAAAGGACCAAGCACCCAAATCGAAGCTCGCATTTTACATACAATATCATAAGGAGCAACCAGGTTATTTACTTTACTGCTATCAATTTCCATGCTTAAATGTTGCTGGTGATTCGTTACCGTGATGATACTACCTATCTCGTTGAGTAGAGTTTTCATAGTAGTAATATCTGTAAGTTTTGGGATATTATTTAAGCTAAGTTTACCCGTAAGTAAAGAGGCTGCCATAATTGGTAATGCTGAATTTTTAGCACCACTAATATTAATATCCCCTTTTAGAGGAATTCCTCCTTGAATTATTAGGCTATCCATACAAAATTTTTAATTATTAACTGCCTTATTAGGTTCTGTGAAGGAGATTGTTATACGTTAATTCTGGATAAGGAAAAGAAAACAGGCTTTCCTATATACAATACAAAAAACCTAAATGTGAATATTGGAAAAAACACAATATTAGACATATTCCCAAACCTTGTCTCAGGCATTGCTAAAACATTTTTGCCATCTCTTATCCAAAATTAACGTGTTATACAAGCTATTTACAGAGCATTTTAATCGAAAAATAGTGGAAATTTTGTAGGGATATACTTTTGCTTTAAAGAATTGGATTTTATTTGGCAGGGATGAGCATATAAAGTGTACACACTAGTACATAAATCGCAAATCCTTAATAAAATAAAAAACAATTCAGATGCATAAATAAGTATATCACTAACTAAATCCCTTTGACTATACTTCTGCACATAAGCACCTGAACGCTTGAACTACTATACTATCTCAATTCTTGAAGTTGATTCTATCGTTTCTCAACTGCTCAGTTGCGAGCAGTATATATAAGTCTATTAAGATGAATTAGGGAGTAGGAGCAAGGCGCAGAGCCTAGATAGGACTAAGTGAGCAACAAGCAGCAACGTCCATAGCTTATATTCATTGACTGTATAACTTACTTTTGGTGTTTATTATTATCAAGGGCGGCTCCTAAAATATCTCCAAGGATAGCTCCACTATCATTAGAACCATATTCTTTAATAGCTTTTTTCCTTTCTTCTAATTCAAGAACTTTTATTGATAAAATAATTTTGCGTGATGCCTTATCTATAGTAATAATTTTTGCCTCTATTCTTTCTCCCAGAGAAAATTTTTCAACTTTTTGTTCCTCTCTTTCACTTGAGAGTTCGGTTTTTTTAATAAAGCCTATCACTTTTTCATCCAGCGCCACTTCAATTCCATCCTCTTTCAGTGCCCTCACTGAACAAAGAATAATCATGTTTTTTTTGTAACTCTCACACTCTTCTGGTAAGGTATCTTCAGTTAACTGCTTGATCCCTAATCCTATGCGTTCTTTCTCAATATCTATAGATAACACTTTACAATCTATTAAATCATTCTTTTTATAGAATTTTAATAACTCAGCACCGTTACCTTCCCAGCTAATATCAGTTTCATGTATCATCCCATCAATATTATCCTCAAGCGCCACAAATAATGCAAAATCCGTAATATTTCTGATCGGAGCGGCTTCAATGACACTACCAACCGGATATTTGGCAGCAAATTCAACTAATGGGTTTTCTTGACATTGTTTAATACTTAACGAGATCCTATGTTTATTAGTATCAACTTCTAGAATTTTAAATTGAACTTCCTGTCCTATAGTCAGCATTTTCTTAAGATTTTGATTTGTTTTAACCCAATTAATTTCACTTGAATGAACAAGTCCTTCAATCCCATCTTTTAATTCAATAAACACCCCGTAATCAGCGATATTTGTTACTTTACCAGTCATGACTTTACCAACGGGAAATTCCTCTTTTATGCTTTGCCATGGGTTATGGTCTAGTTGCTTCATACCAAGAGAAATCTTTTTAGTTTCTTCGTTATAGTCAATAACTATTACTTTGGCTTTTTGACCTATCGCTAACACTTCCGAAGGGTGATTGATCCTACTCCATGATATATCTGTTACGTGTAGTAACGCATCAACATTCCCTAAATCAATGAAGGCACCATAATGAGTAAGGTTTTTGACTATACCCTCTAATATTACTCCTTTCTTAATTTTTGATAACATTTCCTCACGTGCTTCAGATCTTGATTCTTCCAGGATAGCTCTCCTAGAAACTACTATATTACCAAGTTTTTTATCCATTTTTAAAATTTGAAATGGCTGTTTAATACCCATTAGTGAAGAAATATCTTTTATAGGCCTAACATCTACTTGACTACCTGGTAGGAAAGCAACAACTCCTGATAAATCAACGGTAAAACCTCCTTTAACCCGGCCAAATATCACCCCATCAACAAATTGACCTTTTCCACATGCTGTTTCTAAATGTCCCCATGCCTCTTCTCTAATAGCTTTTTCTCGACTTAGAATAGTTTTGCCATTACGCCCTTCCAGTTTTTCAATATATACATCGACTATCTCTCCCATCGCAGGTAAAGGTTGATTATGGGCCAGATCAAATTCTTCGATAGGGACCCTACCTTCATTTTTTAGCCCTACATCGATAATAATAATACTTTTAGTGACCCCTACTACCTGACCTTTAACAACAGTACCTTCTTTTACATGGCTAGTACTTATCATATCCAGCATTTCTTCAAACTGTTCATTAGCTTGAATATTTGTTTCAGCAAGTTGTGGGACGAATTTTTGCTTAAATTTTATTTGCATATTTTTCTCTAATACTAGCTTGTGCAATCTAGCATAAAATTTTAAAGGTTAAAAATAAACTGAATTAATATTAGGAGCACTGAACCTAGTATTAACAGAGCTTTTGGCTAAACTCTATACTTGCTGCTTTTATGAGGACAATATATTTAAACTCCAAATCTTTCTATATATTTAAGGATACTTCAGCAAAGCAAGAACAAAATTTTTTGTGGTTCCAGTTCTGCGCTAGCCACATACTTTCATAGTCTATTAATCTAAAAATAATAATCAATGATTAGGCTGTGTTTCTGCAATTATAATAATTATATCTTCTGTAATTCAAGGCCGCAATACCCGCCTCTTAAAGTCATATTACCGCGTAGAAATAAATTCTATTATTTGATCTACTACTTCTGTTGGAGATAAAAGAGAAGTATCAATTTCCAAAGCACCTTCAGGAATTGTTAAGGGAGAGCGACAACGCTCGCTATCCCTGGTATCCCTGGTTTCTAACTGGGCTAAAATATCGCTTAATGTATATTGGTTACCGCTTTTACGTAATTCTTTATACCTTCTCTCTGCTCGGACATTGATATCGGCATTAATAAAAATTTTTAAGTCAGCTGAAGGCGCAATGACTGTGCCAACATCTCTTCCTTCCATAATAATTCTAGGAGTTATTTTTATCAATTCTACTAAATATTTCCCCAAGTTACTTCTGACTTCTGGTATTATCGCAACTTGCGAGGCCACCATACCAATATTTTCTGCGTTCAATTCTTTATTTTGTACAATACTGATAGTTTGCGACAATTTAATTACTGCTTCTTGATCATTAGGATCAATCTTATTGTTTATACACTTTGAAGCCAAGTTTCTATCTACCGTACTAGACTGAAAATAAGTTAACTTAAGCTTGGCAGCTAGGA